GATCTTCATTCGAAAGTGCATCAAGTCCTCTTCACTTTCAGTATTCAAGGTTGTGTTATTTGCATATCGCAGGTTGTTAATGAGTTTTCCTCCAATCCTGATGCCTCGTTCTTCTTCATACAATCCAGTTTCTTGGATTATTCACTCAGCATACAGATTAATAAGTATTGTGAAAGGATACAACTCTCACACACAGCATTCCTGACTTTGAACCACGTAGTATCCCCTTGTTCTGTTGGAACAACTGCCTCTTGGTCTATGTACAGGTTTCTCATGAGCACAGTTAAGTGTTCTGGAATTCTCATTCTTTGCAATGTTATCTATAATTTGTAATGATCCACACAGTCAAATGCCTTTGCATAGTCAATAAAACACAGGTTAACCTCTTTCTGGTATTCTCTGCTTTCAGCCAAGATCCATCTGACATTAGCAATGATATCCCTTGTTTCAGGTCCTCTTCTGAATCCGGCTTGAATTTCTGGCAGTTCCCTGTTGATGTACTGCTGCAACTGCTTTTGAATGATCTTTGGTAAAATTTTACTTGTGTGTAACATTAATGATATTGTTTGATTAATTTCTGCATTCTGTTGGATCACCTTTCTTTGGAATGGGCAAAAATATGGATCTCTTTCAGTTGGTTGGCCTTCCAAATTTCTTGGCATGGACCAGTGAGCACCTCTAGTGCTGCATCTGTTGGTTGAAACATCTCAATTTGTATTCCATCAATTCCGGGAGCCTTGTTTTTCACCAATGCCTTCAGTGCAGCTTGAACTTCTTCCTTCAGTACCATCAGTTCTTGATCTTATGCTACGTCCTGAAGTGATTGAACATCGACAAATTCTTTTTGGTATGGTGACTCTGTGTTTTCCTTCCAACTTCTTTTGATGTTTTCTGTGTCGTTTAATATTTTCCCCATAGAATCCTTCACTATTGCAACTCAAGGCTTGAGTTTTTTTTTCAGTTCTTTCAGCTTGAGAAATGATGAACGTGTTCTTTACTTTCGGTTTTCTAACTCTAGGTCTTTGCATATTTCATTATAATATTTTACTTTGTCTTCTCGAGCTGCCCTTTGAAATCTTCTGTTCAGCTCTTTTACTTCATCATTTCTTCCATTCCTTTTAGCTACTCTACATTCAAGAGCAAGTTTCAGAGTGTCTTTTGACATCCCTGTTGGTCTTTTCTTTCTTTCCTGTCTTTTGCTTTCTTTATGTATGATGTCTTTGCTGTCGTTCCACAACTCATCTTGTCTTTAGTCATTAGTGTTCAATATGTCAGATCTATTCTTGAGATGGTTTCTAAATTCAGGTGGGATATACTCAAGGCTCTCGTGGGCTTTCTCTAATTTTCTTCAGCTTCAACTTGAACTTGCATATGAACTTGCAATTAATGGTCTGTTCCCTATCACCCCCTGTCCTTGTTCTGACTGACGACATTGAGCTTCTTCACCATTACTTTCCACAGATGTAGTTGATTTGATTCCTGTGTATTCCATCTGTTGAGGTCCACATGTATAGTCGCTGTTTATGTTGTTGAAAAAAGTCATACAATGAAAGTCGTTGGTCTTGCAAAATTTTATCAAGCAATCTCTAGCATCATTTCTATTACCAAGGGTATATTTTCCAGCTACTAATCCTTTTTCTTCATTTCCAACTTTTGAATTCCAATCACCAGTAATCATCAATGCATCTTGATTGCATGCTTGATCAATTTTAGAATGCAGAAGTTGGTAAAATTCTTCAATTTCTTCATCTTTGGCCTTAGTGGTTAGTTCTAAATTTGAACAATCGTCATGTTAACTGGTCTTCTTTGTAGGTGTATGGATATTAGCCTGTCACTGACAGCATTTTACTTCAGGATAGATCTTGAAATGTTCTTTTTGATAATGAATGCAATGCCATTCCTCTTCAGTTTGTCATTCCTGGTGTCTTAGTTATCTAGTGCTGCTATAACAGAAATACAAGTGGATGGCTTAACAAAGACAAGTTTATTTCCTCACAGTAAAGTAGGCTAAAAGTCCAAATTCACGGTGTCACCTCCAGGGGAAGGCTTTCTCTCTCTGTTGGCCTTCTTATTGTTGTTCCCCCAGACTAGGAGCTTCTCTGCACAGGGACCCCAGATCCAGAGGATGCACTCTGCTCCCAGTACTGCTTTCTTGGTTCCCCAATTCTCTGCTTGCTTCCCTTTCTTTTTATCTCTTGTAAGATAAAAGGCGGTGCAGGCCACACCCTGGGGAAACTCCCTCTACATTGGATCAAGGATGTGATCTTAGTAAGGGTGTTACAATCCCACCCTAATCCTCTTTAACATAAAATTACAATCACAAAATGGAGGACAACCACACAATACTGAGAATCATGGCCCAGCCAAATTGATACACACATTTTTTTGAGGGGACATAATTCAATCCATGACACCTGGCATAGTAGACCATATGATTATCTGATTCAAAATAGCCAATAGCAGTGCATTTCAGCTCACTAATGCCTAGGATACTGATGTTTATGCATTCCATTCATTTTTGACAACTTCCAACTTTCCTAGATTCATACTTCGTACATTCCATGTTCTGATTATTAATGGATGTTTGCAGCTGGTTTTTTTCTCATTTTGAGTCATGCTGCATCAGCAAATGAAGGTCCTGAAAGCTTGACTCCATCCATGTCATTAAGGTTGACTGTACTTTGAGGAGGCAGCTCTTCCTCAGTAATATTTTTAGTGCCTTCTAGCCTGATGCACTCATCTTCCAGCACTATATCAGACATAATTATTCATAAGGTTTACACTGGCAAACTTTTCAAAAGTAGACTGCCACCTCCTTTTTCCTAGTCTCTTAGCCTGGAAGCTCTGCTGAAACCTGTCCACCATGGGTGAACCTGCTGGTATTTGAAATACTAGTGGCATAGCTTCCAGCATCACAGCAACACGTAAGCCACCACAGTATAACAAACTGACAGATGAGTGGTGGTCTCGTTTAAGTTAGATATTAGAAAATTCTAAGGAATTGTTAAAAAGTTATGTAGCTTTTCTAAAAAATCAATTAATGAGGAAATTACACTTCAGGCTTTAGATGGTTAAATAGACGCAAAATCATATTGTTTACTCTGATAAAATGAAACAAACAGAAATTCCTTCTGTTATTATTGCCACATATGCTATAGTAGTGCATTAAACTGGGATGACCTTTATTTTGCATTGCAGAGCAAAATTTAAATAAAAAGTCAGATATGAACACGAACTCTACTTATAAGTAAATACAAATCTAATAACTCTTCTTTGCATAGCTATAAAAATTCGCTAGGTGACCACGTGCTAAAGTTTGGAAAGCTGGTTGCCATCCTTTATTCCAAAAGCCCTCACCAGGCAGACTTATCCTCTTGGGTGGGAAGATGAATTTTTAAATAATTAGCTTCATCATCACAATCTTCTGGTTCATCCATTCATTTAACAAATATTTAATGAGAACTATTATGTGCCAGGTGTTTTTCCAGAGGCTCAAGATACATAAGTGACCTACGTAGACAAAGATTTTCCACTTTTGAAGCATTCATCCCAGTGTTTATGTATTCTGAGAGCAGGGAAAATTTATAAAATGGTAAAGTAAATCTAAGGAGTGCTATCTTAAAATGCTTCGAGTGACATTTATGTTATTTGGGAGTCGAAGTAAATTTGACGTTTTCTATTTATGTGTTTCTTGGGGAATTTGAAAATGGAGGTGCATAGGAAAAGTGCAGGTGCATAATAACTACATATCATGTACAAATGAGTGATTTTAAAATGTGAGAAGACACTCTTAAATTGCTAAATAAACTTCACATAAAACAGACTGTGTTAAGGGATCTCCCAATAATTTTGGGTGCTTAGCATACTGATTCAGTTATTTTTTTCTTCTACTTGGATATCTGAACCTATAGCTAACCAGAAGCGCTAGTTGCTATCCATTAATTCCAGGAACTTCCAGTCAGGATCACTTCCCTTCCCACTCAATACAGACTCACTCATTGTCATTCTTTCATAGTCCATGAGTTCTCTCCTTTAGACATCTTCACTTGTATACACTTTTATAGGCTCCCTTCTATGCTGACCTCCTTTCAAAAGCAGAGGCTCCTTAAATTCTGCATTTTTTTTTCTTCTTAAAGCTCAGCCGGTAGATGTCTCCATTACTCTCTTGTAGTTAAGACCAGCCTGAGAAAGGAAGTTTTAATTATTTCTTTCACCGACAACAGAGAGGAGGATTTGATAATTTGCCTAAAACGAATGGATGCTCAGGAGGACACGTTTCCATCCTACGTCCCTCCCCTCATTTAAATCAGAAATGAAAACTCACTTCTCCCTTTTTTCCAGGCAAAAGAAAAGGCTGGTTTAACTAAGAATGCAAGACGCCAAACCCTCCTCCTCAGCACTTTCAAGTTTCCTTCGCTCTGAGCCACAGAAGCTTTGTTCCTTCCCTCACTCCAGCCCATCTTCGCCTCTACCTCCTCAGGTTTCCGAGTCTTACAGGAGTGGATGAAAGGAGTAGGCGCTGCAGCCTTCCGCGCCACCACCTCCTCCGCCTCCCTTCCCCCTCGGGTTCAGCACTGGACAGCTCCCGCCCCAGCCTAACACACGGCAGTCGGCTGATTGACAGGGAAGCCGACCAAACAGGCAACCAAATGACTTGAATCCGCCCTGCAAGGGTTTGGTTGCGGCCAAACTGCCTCTTTAAACATGCTTTTTCCCCTAAGAGCAGGGAGAGGCATGAGTGTGGTTTGTAGCCAAACCAAAAGATTCCAATTAACCAGCTGCCTAACTCTCTTGACTCCAGAGAGATAAACATCTTAAAAGAAACCTTTGCTCTTTGGGTCTTCCTCGGGTGCTGTCGGGTGTGGGTCTGTGTGCGCGCGCGCTCCGCAAGTCAACGAGGAGGAGCCAGAGCTGGGAGGCAGGAACGACCTGAGATGATTGAGCAGCGTCTTTGGCGGCCACGGCGGTAGCAGCAGCAGCAGCTCTTGAACACACCTCAGTGAAAGCCGCGGTGGAAGCCGCTGAGCAGAAAGACGTAAGCAGACTAACTGTAGCTGCCGGGAGCAAGAGGGGATGTAACCCGTTCGGCTCAAGGCTGCTAGGTGCGTAATCCCGAGTCGACCCGTTGTGGAGCGGGTGCAGGTAGCTAGCATTGCCACAGGTGATTTGATTTCCTATGACGGTAGCTCAGCCATCCGGACCAATTTCGAAACATTCTTATTTTGAAGTCCTTTTTGTTTTTCTGGTGCCATCTGGAGAAGGGGCAAGACTGCAAGTAAAACTCTTAATGTTGATAAATTGATGACCAGAATTTAAAAAGTGACTCTTCTCGTCCTCTCGTCTCCTTTCGGTTAGACAGATGGGAGCCATGGCTTACCACTTACTCCTCTGCCTCCTGTTCGCCCATCTGGGATTGGGAGCTGTTGGCGCCAGCCGCGACCCTCTGGGACGGTCGGATTCTCCTCGAGAGAGGACCCTGAAGGGGAAGCAGCACGACCAGCACCTTGTTCGAGCCTCTGCCTCGGATCCTTCGATACCCTGGAGCCACTCCACCGACGGCACCATCTTGGCGCAGAAACTCACCGAGGAGGTGCCCATGGACGTGGCCTCTTACCTCTACACTGGGGACTCCCTCCAGCTGAAGCGAGCCAACTGCTCTGGCCGCTATGAGTTGGCAGGCATGCCAGGGAAGTCATCAGCCCCTGCCACCTCTCACCCTTCCTTGCACGGAGCGCTGGACACCCTGACACACGCCACCAACTTCCTCAATATGATGTTGCAGAGCAATAAGTCGCGGGAGCAGAACTTGCAGGACGACCTGGAGTGGTACCAGGCGTTGGTGCGGAGTCTCCTGGAAGGCGAGCCCAGCATCTCCCGGGCGGCCATCACCTTCAGCACCGAGTCACTGTCCGCGCCTGCCCCGCAGGTCTTCCTCCAGGCCACCCGAGAGAAGAGCCACATCCTGCTCCAGGACCTGTCCTCCTCGGCTCACCACTTGGCCAACGCCACGCTGGAGACCGAGTGGTTCCATGGCCTCCGGCGCAAGTGGAGGCCCCACTTTCACCGCCGCGGCTCCAATCAGGGGCCCCGGGGCCTGGGCCATAGCTGGCGGCGCAGGGACGGGCTCGGTGGGGATAAAAGCCATGTCAAGTGGTCTCCGCCTTATTTGGAGTGCGAGAACGGGAGTTACAAGCCCGGCTGGCTGGTCACTCTCTCCGCTGCTTTCTACGGGTTGCAGCCTAACCTGGTCCCTGAATTCAGGTAGGGGGGAAAAAAAAACAAAAGCCAAGTTTACCTTCCGGTTTCGCTGGTTGGTGTACAGGTGGGGAAAGCGCATTCGGTTGTGTCGCTTGCGCCTCCCATCCCAGGAGCAGAGGCCCAGGCTAAGCGACGCCCGACGTCGGCGAATGTGCCTAGGGGCGTTAAGCGCCCCATGTCTGTAAGCTTCAGGCACTCAGCGAAAGCCTTTCTTTTGGATCACTTCTCTGAAAGGAGGTGGCACTTGGTAGAGCTGAAAGCAACCTTGGCTCCTCTTTGCGTTTCTCCAACTCGGGATAGCAGGGAGGGGAGTTCTGCTAAGGGGGTGATGGCGATGGAACTTGGTGAACTCACGGTTAGGCACGCAGAGGAGCGAGAAACGGATCAGAGAGGAGAAAAGGGGGCTTGAGGAACAGAGTTCCTCGTGTCTGCCACTTCAGGGTAACCCGTACCTCCTTCCTAAACGTGTAGTTTGGGGCACCGGTCTGTTGTTAGTCAGTTACCAGAGAGTATCGGTGCAGTTCCCTTAGCAATTCTGTTCCCTCAGCAGCTGAGTCAGTCGTAGCAGTCTAGCTATCTCCAGGATCCAGACTTCACAATTTGTTCAATATGCTCTTTCTACTCGTCCCGCTCCCCCCTCACCCCGGTCTATCTTCTCTTCCTTTGTCCCCTCTTTCTCCTGTTTTCCGTGTTAGGCAGATCTGGTTCTCCAGTGTCCTTCACACTCTCAACACTTTGTAAAGGAACCTGATTATCTTAGGGAAGGAGGAAATCAGTTCTGGTTGAATCAGGCAGGAAGCTTGGAGGAAACTTAACAGTTTTGTTATTTCCTGTCCCAAGGTATATAGCATTTGAGGAAAGATGAGAATTTGTAAACAAGCAGGTTGTGACTTCTGCCCTGGGAATTGCTTGACCTTTGAGGTGAGGAACTTCTAGAAGTACCCCTTAAGAGTAGATGTGAAGAAGGAGCAGAAAGGAAAGGAGTAGAAACTCCAAAGAGGGTCTGTGAGAGGGCTACAGATTAAGTGGGATTCTTCCCAATTCCCATGATGGGATGCTCTAGAAAGAAGCTCTTGGGGCCTGAGCTTGTTTCTGTAGTTTTTGGGAACCTGGAAAGAAGTGACAAACCTCTCACTGGGTTTTTATAATGCTCTGTTTGTCACAGCAAGGACAGGATGCTGACCTGATGAGAGACCAGGATAAGTACTAGGTGGGCAAGGGTGTGTGTGTGTGTGTGGGGGGGGGTACTTGTTTGTCTTGGCACTGTTATTTACTGCTGAATGACCTTGAGCAAGTTGTTTAACCTCTCTGGGCTTCAGCTACTTATCCATCATCTCCAGGGAGCCATCCAGTTCTAAAATTCTGTAGCTTTTAATGCTAGGAACACTTGAGAAGGCATAAATGAAAAACAACTGCCTTTCTCTGGTTCTGTATGGCCATATTAAATCTTTGTGTGTGTTTTATCTATCTCTTTTAAAGATCCTGTCTTAAACCAGAGTAACTCTTTCCCACTTTCAGGATAATCTCATTTCCTCCTGATGGCTGCAGGATCCTGTTAGCAAGAGCTGAGTCTTCGAGTCTTTGCCGTATCATTTGCTCAGAAGAGGAAAGATCAGCCAGATGTCATTCACTGCCAGCAAATTGTTTGTGGCCTTTACAGGAGCCTTTTCAGGGAGTCCCAGGATCGAATGATCTATCTTTATCTATCTGTCTATCTATCATCTATCTACCTACCTACCTACTTACCTATTATCTATCATCTATCTATATGTATGTATCTATCCTCTATCTATATGTATGTATGTATCTATCATTTCCAGAATTATTTCTCTTAAGGATCAGAGGACATAGATCATCTGAAGGAACTCAGAACCTTCTGACAGCCAGGATGAAAGGCTGAGGACACAAAGGGTCTGAGGTTGTGAGGGCTCACATACCCCCCACCCCCAACTATTTTTTGTCTATTTTCGGAGAATATTGTTTCCCCGGCTTAGTCTCTAAGTGCTTTTATAATCATTGATGGTGTTCTTCAGCTAACGCACAAAGCCAGGCTATAGTCTTTGGCTTTTTACAGAAGCTGGTCAGTCTCAGCAGCAGCTACAAAAAGCAGAATAAGTGCTCTCCTGTGAGTATTTTTGCCCTACCTCCTGTGCTCCTCAAATACTGTATTTAGGATTCACACAGATATTATTAGAACTAGAATAAATCTTAAAGAAATCAGATAGTTCTACCTGTTGTTTTATAGATAACAAAATAGAATTAGAAAGGTGAACTTACTTGTCCAAAAATTACGTAGTTTCTAGCAACAGAAGAAATAGGATCTAGGCCTTCTGCCTCTGGCTTATACGTATATACCTAAATCATATTTCTGTGGCTGTCTGAACTTTGCATACAATCTATGTTCTGGAGACATACTTTATTCTCTATCATCTTTTTAAGAAAAAAACATTAGCCCATAAAACACAGCTGCTGATTTTTAAAAAAAAAGATTATATTGTTCATTTACACATTTGAGGTAATGTTTAAATGGGCCTTTTCTGACTTTTTGTATTCCTAAAAGGCAGAGGTTTTTTTTTTTTTTTTATGTTTTATCATTTAAGATGCGTTTTATAAAATTCTACAATACAGATAGATGATATTTGACAGGTATGGTTACATGGTAAATCTCAAATGAATCATTTCTGTGAAACCACAATTAGGAGCCCTAGTTATAATGTTAAATAGTATTTTAAACTAGGAGAGGGCTCTTTGCAAAAAGTCTTAATGAAAGTCTATAATGAAAAAAATGCCTGATAATGATTTACTTACAGAAGAGAAAAGGAGGAAAAGTTTTGTGGTTAAAATTCTCATTTAAAATCAGTTAATATTTCCACAGGTCTTACTTATAAGATTAAGGCATTTAAATTACATTATATTTTATATTTAGAAAATGTAAATCCAAAACATGAAGTTCAAAAGTAATGTTGAGAACATAAACAACCACTTTCTTATATTAATATATATCACTGTAAAAAAACTCTCAGAATAAATTTTATTCCCGTTTCCAAATGACACAAGTATCTTAAATTTCAAAACCAAGCATAAGACTCACATAGGAAGAAGTTTATTCCTATTCTGTTTCTTTAAAAAAAATGACACTAATTCCCCTTAACTAAATGTCTCAAGTCTTTTGTTATCGATTTATAGTATAAACATTTTAGTTTTCATCTTTTGTCCTATAGCAGAAAGAGAGCTGTAGTAATAATTTAAAGTATACCCTAAAATATTTTTACTTAGAGTGTTGTGTTTGTGATGTCCTTGTAGAGTTTTCCTTAAACTTAGACTCCTTAGGATTCACATAGTAATTTTTGTTTGTGGAACTTAAAGTACTATGGAGTTGGATCTCATTCTGCTGAATTCATAGACAGTTTATTGGTGGTGGTTAAGACTGTTCAGTGCCTAAGACAGATGTAAGGTACTTATTAGTGTTTGTTGAATTTAAATGAAGGTGAGTTCCTGTGGGAAATTCATTCTTTCTTGTTGAACTGAAAGGGACTTTAGTTCCTTTCAAGTGGTTCCATCTTCTCATTTTACTGTTAAGGAAACTGAGACCCAAAGAGCTAAAAGAATGTGCAAGGAGCGGCACATCTCTTTTGGGGTAGGTTAGGATTAATGGGAACAAGTATTCATTTAGCACCTGTTGTATGTTAGAGGCTTTATATATACCACTTCATTTAATTCTTAGAATTCTTAGGTAGTTACAACTTCAGAAAAGTTGAGCAAACTTCCCAGGGTAAAACAGCTAGTAAATTAGGAAACAAAAATCAAATTTAGATTTATCTATGAAGCTTATATAGTTTTTCCACTACCCTATGTTGCTTTCTATATCTTGATTTCATAATTATGATTTTCACCTTGTTATTAAAAAATATAACATGATATTGACTGGAAATAATATATTTGGCCAAAATAAACGATACACTTATTTTTTTAGGCTAAGTCATTCATTATTAGGTATATCAATATTCCCATCACTGTTTGCATAGGTAGAAAGAAGAGACAAACATCATGTCATGTGAAATTAATTTTGAAAGAAAAATCAAGGCACGTGAATCTTTGTTATAAAAAAATTTTAGTACCGCAAAGTTTTCCTAATGCTTAATCCAAATCTTACCCAGAACATGTTCTCCTTTGCATCTGGTTCTTTTATTCATGGAAATCTTTCCCTATGCAATTCAGGCTTGAATCATCTTATAATAAATATCTTTGTATAGGCTTAACACATTCAAGAGAGAATGTGTTGTGTAGTGAGAAGAGGATTAGATTTGAGTTAGAACTTTACCCCAAGTCCCAGTTTTGTCTCTGACTAGCTGTATTACCTCTCTGGAAATCAGTTTCTGCAAAATTAAAATGGGAATGGACTTGATTATCTCCAAATCTTTTTATAACTCTTTGTTCTATGAATTCTAAGTAGTCCAGGTGGTCAACAAGTAAGCCTTGAAAACAGGGCTGATACACAGGAAAACAGTGCCTGTGGTTATTGATGGGGGAGTGACACGCAGAGAAAGAAGAAACCAAGTGAATGGCAGACTTGGTGTTTGGTTAAAAGGTAATAATAGGACAATTAAGAAAGATCACCATAGAGTGAAAACCCCTTTGTAGAAACTAATGGACATCAGTGTCACTAATTCCCTGACTTCCTGAGGGATCACTTCGCTCTCTCTTTCACACACATATACCCATGTACCTCTGTTAATGATTCTGGTGCAGATTTTTGCTTTCAGCAAAATGGGGCAACTCACACAGAAGAGAAATGATCATCTTGCTCTAAACCAAACATATCCTATGACTTTACGGATTTTCTGGTGGGAGCTGATAGAGCTGAAGAGGCTTACCTATAGGAACAGCATAGAGGTGTTTTCCTGGGTTATAGATCACAGGGTTTTTAGATGACCTTCTGCTACTGAGGTTTCTGAGTCTCAGTTATTTCATCTGTAAACTGTTTGAGTGGTAATGTATATGTC